ATAATTTGCTTTAGCTATCAACTAGCTAGATAACGTTTACATTAATCAATAGTTATCGGCTACATGTTTACTAAGACCATCTCCAGTTGAATGATCAATAATCATTTTTTAAAGGAACACATGGATAGTCATGCAAAATATACCCATCAAATTAACATCCAACAACTACCTTGTTTACATCTCTGCATATATTTAAAATATAAAAAAAAAACCTATGAAAAGACACATTTCTTTTAAAATCATGATCGATATTAATCTTATAAATGATTTCTAGTTATTGATGTGAACACGGAAAATTCCTAAAACGAATGAGACAAGAACAACGTGCACAAACAAATATTTGTATTTGATGATTTTGGGTTCCAATCTCTCTCTAATTTGATCCTCTGATTCGATCTCCGTAAGGTGTTGATTCGTGGATGTTTCGTTGATCCAAGGCGCGTCGAGGCTTGATCTTGGATGAACAGTTGGAAGTTTCTTGGCAGGGCCGTGGGCTTGATCTTTGAAGGTGGATTTGAGCGGATCTTCAAGGGGCTTTTGGGCTTGATCTTGAAGAACAGTGATGAACGGATCTTCAAGGGCTTTTGGGCTTGATCTTGAAGGACGGTTGGATGTGTGGATTTGTCGACGTTTGTTGATCCAAAGGGCCGTTGGGGCTTGATCTTGGAAGAACGATGAACGAAGAACACTTTCTTCAAGGGCCGTCGGGGCTTGATCTTGAAGGTGGATGATTGTTGATCCAAATGGCGTTGGGGCTTGATCTTGGATGAACGGATGATGAACGATGGTGCTTTCTTCAAGGGTCGTCGGGGCTTGATCTTGAGAGAGCGATGGACGAAGAACGAAGAGAGCTTTCTTGATTCTTCGGGAACCTGGATGCTTGAGAGCTTCGGAGTTTCAGAGCTTCAGAGCTTCAAGGTGTAATATGAATTGGTTCCCCTAAATGAATGAAATGGGCTTGTATTTATAGAATTTTCCAATGCCTAATTTTGAATATAATATCCCAGATGAAATAAGTCGTTTTTGCCAGGTGTTGACACGTGTCCTATTTGATGACTTTTCCAACTCATTTCAATTTTCGTTGAGTCACACGCTACGTGTAAAATTTATGTAATACATGAGCGTTGACACTTTGATTTATCGGTCAATATTTATTTACGAAATTTCGATGTCTACAAATGCCCCCACTTCAAGGCACGTCGTATACATGTGCTTGTCACGTGTAGGAGATGCGTTTTGAAGTCCCTTACTGTAGATGTCGATCCAAGGGCCGTCGAGGCTTGATCTTGAATTGGGCTGAAGATTTCTTCAAGGGCCATTGAGGCTTGATCTTGAATTGGGCTTGAGATTTCTTCAAGGGCCGTTGAGGCTTGATCTTGAATTGTTGTTTGAAATTTCTTCAAGGGTCGTCGAGGCTTGATCTTGAAGGTTGAAATTGGACCACAAGGAGCTTCATGTGGTAGATGATCTTTGGCTTTGGTAGTGGGTGAATCGACACGTATTTTGTTGCGCTTTGTTGACTTTCCACAGCTTTGATCTTGAACTGGGTTGAAGGATTTTCTAGATTCCTCCAATTGTTGATTTTCCACAGCTTATTCTTGAACTAGGTTTTGATTCAAGGGTGGTAGACACTTAATCTTGAATTGGACTTGTGATTTCTTCCAGGGCCGTCGAGGCTTGATTTTGAATTTGGCTGGAAGCTTCTTCAAGGGCCGTTGAGGCTTGATTCTTGAAGGCTGACTCGAACACACGGCAAACAGGCACGAGGTGAAGGTGACGACTTGTTGCTTTGTTCAATCTTTCTAATTCACACCTGAGTAGTTTGGTCAACGGTATGATCTTCGAGATTAATGAGCTCCTCTTCCAATTGGTGACTTGGTCTTTAAGGATTTGATTCAAGGGTGGTGAATCGGCACGTGCAGCCCACAACGCCTAGTAAGTCGACCCAAGAATTTGAGGGTCAAAACGAGTTCACCGTCCTCGGGCAAATGCGGCATCTTCTCGAGTTCTTCATCTCAGACTCTTTCTGCTGAGTTGACTGTGCATGCTGCATTCTTCTCTGCTTGTTTCTTTAGGCAGATGTGGCAGCTTCTCGAGTTCCTCAGTTCGGACTCCTTCTGCTGAGTTGATCGTGCAGACCGCATTCTTCTCTGCTTGTTCCTTCTGCACCTTGTCTCCACATGCTGCAAGGTATCATTTTCACTTGCCTTATCTGTCCTCCAAGCAGATGTGACAGCTTCTTTGAAAGTACAGCAGCAGTGGAAGGCGAGTACTCGAGAGCAGTGCTAGGTAGGCAATCAGGGAAGGGTTCCAAGCAGTCGGTTCCTTACCCGAGTTTGAGTGGAAGTTCCGGCATATTGTTTTCTTTATCCTTGTCTTTGTAAGTAGGAACAAGGACAAAGGAAAGGACAGGGAGAGTGCATGATATGAGATACTCTTGCTTTCTACCCTGGTGATATGAGATACTTTTGCTTTGGAGTCATTGGCTTGCAGAGGTACCCCAAGGAATAAGGAACACTGAATTACTCGAGAGGTTTCGTTGGGAAAGCATTTTTTGAGATGAAGAAAGGCGCTGTATGTCTGCCTTGCTATGGAAGGTGAATGTGGACAGTTATAGGAGGTCTCTTAATACCTGTAGAGGTACTATTCTTTCACTCGTGTCGGCAACTAACGCGTGATTGAACAGTAAACTTCACGTGTTTTCTCCTTCACCGAAAATCTTCGACAAATTACCCGTGATTTGCGAAAAGTTAAGTGTGCATATGACAGGTGTTGACGAGGCTGAAAAAGACTGGCGCCTCTTCGATATCTGGGATCGGCGCTTCGACAAATTGCCCGTGATTTTCGCAAAGCTGAGTTTGCGTGTAACGGGTGTCGACGCATCTGGAAAAGCAAGATGCTTCTCCGATTTCTGAGCTTGCCTCTTCGATTTTTGAATGGCCTCTTCGAATTCTGAGCTCGCCTCTTCGATCTCTGAAATCCCGTTGAGTGCTGATTTTTATAGAGGCATGCAGTTCGTTTCAAAGCACACTTGAATTTTCGCTTGTGAAAACTCCCTTCTTGCACTTCTAAGATCTTGATTTGTCCGATCTCTTCTTTCTTCAACACTTTGAAAATGTCTGGACCCTCCGACCGTCGTTTTGACTTGAATCTTGGTGAAGAGGCAGTCCCGCCTTCTCCAGACAACATATGGCGTCCATCCTTCATATCCCCTACTGGTCCTCTTACCGTTGGGGATTCGGTGGTGAAGAATGATATGACCGCTGCGGTGGTGGCCCGGAACCTTGTCACTCCCAGAGATAACAGACTACTTTCCAAACGATCTGATGAGTTGGCTGTTAAGGATTCTCTGGCTCTCAGTGTGCAGTGTGCAGGTTCTGTGTCTAATATGGCCCAACGCCTATTTGCTCGAACCCGTCAAGTTGAATCATTGGCGGCTGAAGTGATGAGTCTCAAACAGGAGATTAGAGGGCTCAAGCAGGAGAATAAACAGTTGCATAAGCTCGCACATAGCTATGCGACAAACATGAAGAGGAAGATTGACCAGATGCAGGAATCTGATGGTCAGATTTTACTTGATCATCAGAGGTTTGTGGGTTTGTTCCAGCAGCATTTGCCTTCTTCTTCTGGGGCTGTACCGCGTAATGAAGCCTCAAATGATCAACATTCAGTGCCTCCTTCTCCTGGGGTTCCGCCGAGTACTGAGGCGCCACCTGATCGTCCTTGAAGATCCCCTATTGTAAATTTGATTTGATTTGATTTTTTTTTTTTTATATTTTATTTTATATTTTATTTTATTTTATTTTTTATTAAATGTATGTATAATGCAAATTTATGTAAAATTTCCAGAAAAATAAATAAAATGGACTTTTATTTCTCTTAATGCTTTTTTTTTTTTAATCATGGTGCCAGACGCACCAACGATAAAACATTTTTTAATTTTTAATTTAATTATATATATATATATATATATATATATATTGCCTTTAATCATGGTGCCAGCCGCACCAAAGTTTAAACATTTTTTATATACATATATTTTTTTTTTTAGAATGGTGTTGATCCAGCACCCAAAACACTTTATAATTATTATATATATATTTTTTTATTCTTTTATTTTTTATTTATTTATTTTTTCTTTCTTTGCACATGGTGCCTGATGCACCCCCTTTTTTTCACGTGGTGACAGCACCACTTTGTTTTGCTCCACCACTTTTTTTTTTTTTTTTTTAATTATATTTTTTTTGTATAAATTCTGATGACGGGATGGGGAATTTGCAGGGATGGACGAAGTCGAGGCAGCATGGAGGATGAAACTCGACGGAGCAGAACTCGCACTGTCCGTCACCGTCGCAGGCGTCGCAGTCACGTGAGAAGCGCATGCTCATGGCTCGGTCAGAGGTGAAGTGCTACTGCTGCGGTTTGACGGAGGAGTGCACGCCGGCATACGTAGCGACGGTGAAGGAGAGGCACCAGGACCGGTGGATTTGTGGGCTCTGCGCTGAGGCGATCAAGGACGAGAAATCGAGGTCGTCGAGGAAGATCAGCACGGAGGAGGCGATGAGGCGGCACGTCAGCTTCTGCGAGGAGTTCCGGATGTCGAGTCCTCTTTGACTACAAAGTTTGCAGGTTCAGTGACCTTAATACGTCCCCATTTATCAACTGCTAGCCTCATCGATCCCTTGAACATGTCAATCCTTGCATTGCGGAGAATTACAGTTGCACCAGGCTTCATCAAGTCAACTTGATCGTTCCTGGCAGTGAAGAGAATGGTCCCAGTCTCGTCCCCAATCAAGCACTCAGAGATTCGAGTCTGGCGAAGGTGCTGCGACACCGATCGGCCCTTCTGCAGCACAGGGTTCGAGCCCAGGACCTTGGCGACGAGCGTGTGGCCGCTGGTCTCCGGCTTGAGCAACTCGACCTTGGTGAACACGGGCTTCCTTAGACCAGGCTTGGCATTGCTCTGCTGGGGTGTCTGAGACGGTGCCGTTTTGGTGGACGTCGTCATTCAAAAACAAGATGAGTTGAGGCATACTTTGCAAGCAGTTCAAAAGCATTGTGGTTTGCAAAGTCTTCAAACTGAACGAGAACTTTCTCCCCGTAATTCTGCTTGACTGCAGTCATGAACTCTTGTAGGAGTTCGGCATATTCCTGCCCAGTAGCCCTCTTTTGCCTCAGCCCTATGTAGAACTCATCATTCAACAGCTTCTCATTGTTTGTACCAACATCAATGGTTACAGGCAAGCAAGCAGAAGGACGAACTCCTCCAAGTGCCGTGTATAGAGCAAGTTTACCCACAGGAATACCCATTCCATGACAGCCAAGATCCCCAAGCCCTAGGATCCGCTCTCCATCAGTGACAACAATGACTTGAATATTCTTCTCAGGCCAGTTCCTTAATACTTCAAGAATCTTGCCCTTTTCTTTCAAACTTATGAAAAGACCCTGTGGTTGCGTAAAGATGCTTCCATATTTCTGGCAAGTTTCACCGACAGTAGGAGTATAGACAACCGGAAGTAATTCCTCAACATGTTCAATAAGAAGCTTGTAGAATAGCTTTTCATTTCTCCCCTGAAGATCAATCATAGCGATATACTTCTGCAGTGGAACTTGATACTGACGGATACTGTTGATCATTTTCTTAACCTGAAGTTCTTGAGAAATAACAATTGGGGGAAGAAGACCACGCAAGTAATGGGCATCTCTCTCTTTCTCTGTGAAAGCAAGACCTTTGTTGTGGTGTGGAGATCGTATCAATGTATATCCACTAGCAACCGAGACACTCCAGGGCGTGACGAGTTGGTCCTCGGTGGCAGTATCATCACCGTACACGTCTTGTACCCCACCATGGACGGTAGATTTCAGCTCAAACACCTCGGATTCGGCCTTCACGTCCTGCAATGGGTTTTCCATCACAACGCTACCGTTTCGGTCGCTTGTCCGGACTTTTCGGACCACAGCCACCACTTTTAGCGACGTTGACCGCCTCTTCTGGCTCTGAGAGAATGGGCTTGAAGACCCAGCAATGCCCGGTTTCCCCAGAAAACAGCTTCTATTCAAGGACATCATGGCGACGGATTTGTGAAGGGGAGAGTCTTTAGGATCGATGAGCTCTCCTTGCTTGACTCCTTCTCTGTCTCTCTCTCTCTTATACCTGAAATTTGTGAAACCAAAAAGGAGAGAGAGAGCGCGGGTGGCAAGTGGTGAGGTACGGAGGTCTAGAAGTGTAGCACCGCCTCAAAATGGGACCTGTGATGTCTTCTAACGGACTCGACTCGCTCAGCGGCGCCGGATGGCTCATCCATGCTCCGGCAACGGCGCCGAGCTTCACTGGAACTCCGGTGACAGCCCTGCCTACCCATTCGCCACGCACCACGTGGAGCTCGACGATGTTGGGCTTGAGGGGTGTACGGACCGAGAAAGAACCGAGCCTGGGCTGGTGCCTTTTGTTACTGCTGGGCCTACACACACACACATATATATATATTTCCTTTTTCCCTTTTTTCTTTTGAAGAAATTGTATCTTTTTTTTTTTTTTTTTTTTTTCCGAAGAAACTGTACAAAGAAAATTGCAAATTTTTCTTAACAGAATAAATTTGTAATAAAATTGACATTCTTTAATAAAACATTTATTCTTTTTTTTTTTTAATTTTGATGTGACTGAACTCGAAAAATTGAACATTCGAGCTGCCTACGTACCCCTCCAAAGAAGAGATCAAGTCGTAACGTAGTTCAAAATACATTTTTTTTTCTTGGTATTTTCTTTTGGTGCCATTTGCAGTTTCAACTCGTGCAGACAAGGAGCATTTGGTGCCGTGTTGCAGTTTCAGCTCATGCAGGCAATGAGCGTTTTGGTGTTGCCTTTTATGCTCGTGCAGACTAGGAGCGTTGATGTCGCATTTTATGCTCTTGCGGGTCAGGAGCGTTGATGTTGCCTTTTATGCTCGTGCAGACCAGGAGCTTTGTGTCATGCAGTTTAGACTCGTGCGGGCAAGGAGTTTTGGTTCGTGCAGTTTAGGCTCGTGCGAACAAGGAGCATTGGTGTTGCCTTTTATGCTCGTGCAGACCAGGAGCTTTGTGTCATGCAGTTTAGGCTCGTGTAGGCGAGGAGCCTTGTGTCTTGCAGTTTAGGCTCTTACAGACAATGAGCTTTGGTGTCGTTTGCAGTTTCAACTCGTGCAGGCAAGGAGTGTTGGTGTCGTTTGCAGTTTCAACTCGTGCAGACAAGGAGCGTTGGTGTTGCCTTTTATGCTCGTGCAGACCAGGAGCGTTGATGTTGCCTTTTATGCTCGTGCAGACCAGGAGCATTGTGCCATGCAGTTTAGGCTCGTGTAGGCGAGGAGCTTCGTGTCCTACAGTTTAGGCTCGTGCGGACAAGGAGCTTTGTGTCTTGCAGTTTAGGCTCTTGCAGACAAGGAGCTTTGGTTCGTGCAGTTTAGGCTCGTGCGAACAAGGAGCATTGGTTCGTGCAGTTTAGGCTCGTGCGAACAAGGAGCTTTGTGCCATGCAGTTTAGACTCGTGCGGGCAAGGAGAATTTGTGAATTTTGTCAAGCAATCCGGGAGAGGCGTTCCTCACAATTTTCATAGCAAGGAGCTTTGATCGCGTGATTAAAGAAGTCTTCGGGCAAGAAATCGCGCATCGTGATGGGGATGGACGATCTATGTGTCGAAATTTTATCATCTTCAACACGTTCACGTTGCTTTGAAGGTTGACAAGAGTGCTTTGCCCCTTTCCGATTGGCGGACTTGACTTGTGGAGAGAGACGTATGCTTCTTGTGCAATTTCTTAGGAGTGACTTGAGTCCATCCTTCAATTTTGCTTGTCTTGGAGGATGCCCCCAGCGGTTGAGGTGAAAATTTTGAGTCGGAAGAGCCAGAAGTGAAGGTGGTATAGTTTGACTTCACCACATCGTTAAGATCTAGCTCGATGATTCCTTTCTGAGCCAGCTTCATGATAAGATCTTTCAGCACGAAACATTTTTCTGTCGGATGACTGATGAAGCGGTGGAATTTACAGTATCTTGGACTGTCGGTACGATTCATTCATCTCTTCCGGCCGTCTGCACTCAGGCAAACTGATCACCTTCTTGTCCAACAGGTCATCATCTAACATGGCAACCACATCAGAGTCGGGGAATGGATAAGTCTTCTCCTCAAGCTCCTTCAAAGTGCGTCTACGCATCTCTTGATCACGAAAAGCTTCGGTTTGAATCGCCTTGCCTCGTGTGGATATTTTGACGGGAGATGTGTTGACCGTCATCGCTTCCTTGGTGGGTTTCCATGCAGCCTTTTCCACCTTTGTCCCAAGAACTTTGTCGTTCTTGTAGTCGGCGATCGTTTCTTTCTTCCCATGATGGGCGATGCTCAACTCCATGTCATGGGCGCGAGTGGCCAATTCCTCGAAGGTCCGCGGTTTAATGCCTTGAAGGATGTATTGCAAACCCCATTGCATGCCTTGGATGCACATCTCGATTGAAGAGGTTTCCGAGAGCCTGTCTTTGCAGTCGAGGCTTAGAGTGCGCCATCTGTTGATGTAGTCAATGACTGGCTCGTCCTTCCACTGCTTTGTGCTCGTTAGCTCTAGCATGCTCACAGTGCGGCGGGTGCTGTAGAAGCGATTAAGGAATTCCCGTTCCAATTGCTCCCAGCTGTTGATTGACTCAGGCTCTAGGTCTGTGTACCACTCAAAGGCGTTTCCTTTCAGCGAGCGCACAAATTGCTTGGCGAGGTAGTCTCCCTCCGTCCCCGCGTTGTTGCAAGTTTCGACGAAATGTGCAACGTGCTGCTTTGGGTTTCCTTTTCCATCAAACTGCATGAACTTTGGTGGTTGATAACCCCTTGGCATCCTTAAGGCATCAATCTTCTTGGAATAGGGCTTCGAGTAGAATAAGGAGGTATGTGAGCTCCCTTCGTACTGTGCCTTGATGGTGTTGGTGATCATCTCCTGCAGTTGCTGGATAGAAAAAGATCCCCATGAGTGCCGCCTGCTGCTTGGTCTGGCTCCGGCTTCCCATCGATTTTCTTCACCGGGGGGTTCTTCGTTCTCCGCCAGCTCCTCCCTTTAGTGGATCATCCTCTGGGTCGGGTTTATCGCCGTCCTGCGCCTCCAGTCGGTTGACTAGTGCTGCAATTTGCAAGTCTTTCTCTTCCACAGTTCGGGTTAGCCTTGCGATTGCTTCATTCATTTGAGCCAGCTGCTCATCGATTGAAGTTGCTCCAATGGTCATGACTTGCATGGCTGAACTGTCGCTTGAATCGGCATCGGAGAGCATGGATTCAGAGTATTTCCTTGGGCTTTCCCCCCTTGGTGCCCTTAGTGAGGCTAAGGTGATCAAAGGCTCGTGCCTTGGGTGATTTTGTTCCCTTGGCAGAGTTGATGCAGAGGTGAAAGAGGCCGCAGAAGTAGCTCTTGCCATGCTTTGAGTCGTGATGCCCAAAGTGACACCAGTTGCGACGAGGACGCTTTTGTTCTTTGCGCCGGTTGCGGGAACAGTTTGAGCCTTCCTTGATGCCATTAATTTTGGAAGTGCGCTTGAATTTCTTGAACGGAGAAAGAGATGAGAGGCAGAGATTGTCCCACTGGGCGTGCCAATTTGTGAACACGGAAAATTCCTGAAACGAAGGGGACAAGAACGACGTGCACAAACAAATATTTGTATTTGATGATTTTGGGTTCCAATCTCTCTCTAATTTGATCCTCTGATTCGATCTCCGTAAGGTGTTGATTCGTGGATGTTTCGTTGATCCAAGGCGCGTCGAGGCTTGATCTTGGATGAACAGTTGGAAGTTTCTTGGCAGGGCCGTGGGCTTGATCTTTGAAGGTGGATTTGAGCGGATCTTCAAGGGGCTTTTGGGCTTGATCTTGAAGAACAGTGATGAACGGATCTTCAAGGGCTTTTGGGCTTGATCTTGAAGGACGGTTGGATGTGTGGATTTTGTCGACGTTTGTTGATCCAAAGGGCCGTTGGGGCTTGATCTTGGAGAAGAACGATGAACGAAGAACACTTTCTTCAAGGGCCGTCGGGGCTTGATCTTGAAGGTGGATGATTGTTGATCCAAAGGGCCGTTGGGGCTTGATCTTGGATGAACGGATGATGAACGATGGTGTTTTCTTCAAGGGCCGTCGGGGCTTGATCTTGAGAGAGCGATGGACGAAGAACGAAGAGAGCTTTCTTGATTCTTCGGGAACCTGGATGCTTGAGAGCTTCGGAGTTTCAGAGCTTCAGAGCTTCAAGGTGTAATATGAATTGGTTCCCCTAAATGAATGAAATGGGCTTGTATTTATAGAATTTTCCAATGCCTAATTTTGAATATAATATCCCAGATGAAATAAGTCGTTTCTGCCAGGTGTTGACACGTGTCCTATTTGATGACTTTTCCAACTCATTTCAATTTTCGTTGAGTCACACGCTACGTGTAAAATTTATGTAATACATGAGCGTTGACACTTTGATTTATCGGTCAATATTTATTTACGAAATTTCGATGTCTACAATTGATGCTAGTCACTTTTTATCTTTAGCCAGCAACAGCATTTGTAGTTTTGTTAAGAGTAGTCGGATTCGCAGGCATTTTGCTGACAAATAAAAGTTGACCGTTAATCGTTATATTGTCTTGAAAAATAGTTCATTTGTTCTTTGAATTAATAACTTCGAACACATCAACATGATTTCTAATTGCGAACAAAGAAAGATCAGATCAAGAATTTTTTTCTCCTGCTGCTCAAAAATAGTGCTTTTTGGTGATGATAAACACTATGCGGCAATTTTGTAGACTTGGCAAAAATTTAAAACAAATGAAGATTATTTAAGGCCAACTATTTGCATTGTGCAATCCAAACTCAAAGATTCTGTGGCAGAAACAAATGATAAGCGATAAGGAGTTTTTTAGGGGTTTTTAAATTGTGATGGTGATCATATATAATGGAAGCTGTGTTGTTGTCTCCATTCATGCAGTGAGCGAGCAAAGCTTTTAAATCTCTCTCCCTCTCCATTTCCCTTCAACTACTTGATCATCATATACCAAAACAATGGGTGCAAAGATGAAGGTGGTCGCTTCAGACCAAACCAAGACCATCACCAAACAGATCACAGGCATGAAGGGTGGCCTTAGAACCATGCCTTTTATCATCTGTATGCTCTCTTTTACGATCAGGATCTCTGTGCATGATGTTTGTTTTTTATTCGACAAATAAAAACAGATATATGTTCCAGAACCGGACTACTTATGTGACATCCCTAGTTTGTGGTATAATTTTATTTTGAGGATCAAATTAAGGTTTATGTGAATGTTTTTCATGTGCAGCAAATGAGTCATTCGAAAAGGTTGCAAGCTTTGGTCTTCAGGCTAATATGATCTTGTACTTGGTATTTGAATATCACTTCGACGCCGCTACCGGATCTAGCATCTTGTTCTTGTGGTCAGCCTTGTCAAATTTTACGCCTATTATCGGAGCTTTTCTCGCCGATTCTCTCTGGGGTCGGTTTCATGTGATTTCTATGGGAATAATCGTTAGCCTATTTGTAAGCAAATTAAAGTTTGCCCTAATTCTCCATATCATGTTAAGTTGTCACCTATGTTACGTGCACAAAAAAAATTAATCATATTTTTCGTTGCAGGGAATGATTGTGTTATGGCTAACAGCAATACTTCCACAAACAAGGCCACATGATTGCGACCCGTACAAAGAAAAATGTGTTCCGGCAAACACAGCTCAAGTCATGCTTCTCTTCGCCTCATTCGGCCTCATGTCGATCGGAGCCGGTGGCATCAAACCATGTTCCTTGGCCTTTGGTACCGATCAACTGGACAATCCAGACAACCCAAATAACGAAAGGCGCTTGCAGAGCTTCTTCAATTGGTATTATGCTTCAGTTGGAGTCTCAGTCATGCTTGCAGTGACAGTCATTGTTTATATTCAGGATCAAATTGGATGGGTTGTAGGGTTTGGAGTCCCTGTAGGGCTCATGTTCTTGTCCACTGTTTTCTTCTTCTTGGGATCTTCCCTTTATGTCAAAGTTCCTCCGAACAAGAACTTGTCTGCTGGATTTCTTCAAGTGTTTGCAGCTGCTTGGAAAAACAAAAACTCGGCGTTGCCACCAAAGAATTTTGATGCATGGTATAGTCCCAAAGGTTCCAAGTTTGTGGCTCCGACGGATAAACTAAGGTAAAGGGAAAACATTATCTTGTTAATATAATATGCATGGACTTAACTATATATGTCACTAAGCTATCATATTTTATTCCCTAATAGGCATAAAACAAAAACTCTAAAAAGAACAACGTATTTAACGAGTACGTATATATGTCTTCGTATATATGAATCATCACATATCTACCACCGGTTTTATATAATCATGAGCCTATTATATCAATTTTAGCTCGAGCCTGTAACACTGGTTTTACCCTTAACTTCCTCCCCTTCACACCTAGATAACTCACCTCACCTCACATTAACTTATTTAATGAGAGAGATAGACTCATAGTTATATATAGAACCAGTTACACTTAAAAATTTCTCTTCACATGCAAACCATGCATATGACAATTGGTTTTGACTTGATGTATGTATTGATAATTTATATATATGCATATGTATTGGCTCATTTTAGGTACCTAAATAAAGCTTGCATCATAAGAAGTCCTGAAAAGGACATAGGCCCTGATGGTTTGGCCAAAGATCCATGGAGTTTATGCACTGTCAGGCAAGTAGAGGAGCTGAAAGCCTTGATCCGAGTCCTGCCCATTTGGTCTAGCAGCATTATAATCTCAGTTATAATCAGCCAACACGCGTTTCCCGTGCTCCAAGCAAAGTCCATGGAGAGGCATTTGTTTGGCAACATCAAAATTCCAGCAGCCTCATTTTCCGTGTTTGCAATCCTCACTCTCACAATATGGGTGGCCATCTACGACCGTATTATAGTCCCCTTGATATCAAAGTACACGAAAAGGCCACGCGGGCTTAGCTTCAAGCAACGAATAGGGGGTGGACTAGCAATCTCCTGTTTGGCAATGGCAGTGGCTGCAGAGGTTGAGAGGCACAGAAGACAAACAGCAATCCGAGAGGGTTTTTCGAACAAACCGGAGGGTGTAGTCGGCATGTCTGCCAAGTGGATAATCCCACAGCACTGCCTCATTGGACTTGCTGAGGCTCTCAATGCAATAGGGCAACTGGAGTTTTACTACTCTCAGTTCCCAAAGAGCATGTCCAGCATTGCAGTGGCTCTTTTGACGCTAGGGTTTGGAGTTGGGAGCTTGGTGGGGAGTTTGCTTGTTACTATTATCGCTGATGCCACTAGAAAAGGAGGTGTGAGCTGGGTTTCAAGTAACCTCAACAAGGCTCACTATGATTATTATTATTGGATCGTTGCTGGGTTGAGTGTGGTAAATGTCTTTTACTTTTTACTGTGTAGTTGGGCATATGGGCACTGTGAGGATAAAAAGATTTGGGATGAGGGAGAAGGGGAGGCAGAGGAGGAACTGTCCAAGTCCGGGGAGTATGCAGTTATGTTCTCCGCATAAATTAGGTCCCCGATGTTTTTAATTTCTGGGATTGTGTGCACATTAGGGTTTGCATAAGCATAAAACCTTAAATTTATAAATATGTCTATACATCCAGTGCTTAGTGTGATTTGTGAGGACATGATATCTGCATATTGTTCGTGTATTATTAGAATATTGCAATTAAATTTGTTCGAATTTACGAGCGGATCGGATTTTTCGCTTGCACGATCTCAATTCATTTTATTTTTTATTTTGTTATACAAGCGATATGTTATATTAAATTTAATTTTTTTAATTTAATATCTCATTTATTTTATAACTTTGTAACGTTTAATGATTAAAATCTCTGTTTTCAAGATCATTCATTAAAAATATGAACCCAGATCCTTTCCGGACAGAAAGAAATTGAGCTCAAAAATCAAATGATCCGGACCATTGAAATTTGATCCAACAACTACAATTATTATAACTTTTAGAAAGCCTCATGTTTGTAGCCGTTTGATCAAATTTTAACGGTCTGGACAATTTGATCCTGAGGCTTAGATTTTTTGAGTCCGAGGGGGATCCAGGTTCTAAAAATATCAACCCTACAAAAAGTCAACAAATTAAACAATTTATGATTTATGTTTTTTTGCATTTATGATTTTCAAGGTAATATAAAAATTGGACGATTTTAATCAACATGTAATATTGCACTAGAAAAACTCGCATGGAATGAATATTCACCGCCACGTGATGTTTTAGAATTTTGATTCAATATTTCAATATAAAGTAAAAAAATAATTACAGATGATATTATTGGTTCGTTTGTAAGTGCATTTAAAATGATTGAAATCACTTTTAAAATGACTCAAAGTGCTTATTGTGAGAACTACTTCACATGCTTTTTCATTAATCATTTGAAATTTTACTAAAAATTGGTTTAAAAAATATTTTCAACCATTTTAAAAGCAGTTCTAAACAAGCCTATGTTATTACTTATTAGAGCAATGCATCACCTGAACCAATGTAACTATGAAAGAGCTTGTTTAATAAGTGCTTTTAAATAATTGAAAGAGTTTTTAGAAAAAATAATTTTTGAGTTCTAAAAGCACTAATTATGTGCTTATTAAGTGATTTTTCATTATTAACTTACATTTTTACAAGAATTGATTCCAAAACATTTTCTTTCAAAACATTTAAAATTACTTGCTAAATGAACTTTAAGTCATTCTTAACTAACTACACACCAAAAATGTCAAAAGAAGAAGAAAACAAATTAAAGACCGGACCCGAAAATATTTATCAAAACCAGTTGAAAAAACCCCTCAAGTCCACCACACCGTCCCTAGTAGTCCTTGATAGCGACTCCTGTACACCAAACTGCGCACCCTATCGTTCATTCTCCACCGTCCGATCAACGGTTAACCGCTAATCAAAAGCAATGGCTCCGATTGCAGTCGGCGATGTTATTCCAGACGGCACTCTCGCCTACTTTGACGAGGAAGACAAGGTCCAATCCGTCAACATCCACTCCCTCGCCGCCCTCAAAAAAGTCATCCTCTTCGGCGTCCCCGGTGCCTTCACCCCCACTTGCAGGTAAAAGCTCGAGTCTTTCGGTTTCCGATTTTATTGGATATAGAATTTTGTGCTAAACCTTACCCACTGTTTGGTTCCCGGGAAAATGGTTGGAAAATGTATAACAAATGAGCCCCGCATTGGTAAAGTTGCTTGCTTCGGTGTGAATTTGTTACTTGTGAAGTGGACGGTTTAGATTGGTGACTGGTTTGAATCGGACGGTTGTAGAAATTTGGATTCTTTTCCGATGATTATTAGTTATTTTTCTGAGAAATCGAGGTTGTTTTTTTAGCTGTGGTTGTACGGTTTGAAGCATTTGCCTGGATTCATTGAGAAAGCAGAGGAACTTAAATCAAAGGGCGTTGAGAAAATTCTCTGCCTTAGCGGTATTACTTCTCACTTAACTGTATTTTCTATTAATTTCAGTTTACTTGCAGCAATTATGGTATCGCATATAGTAAATGTCGATATGTTTGTCGCGAGTTTCATGCGGGATATAATAATTTGAGGTTAATGCTGAGTTTAGTGATTCCTTTAAGGTCATAGAACTTACATTGAGTAAGGCAAATGCTTCCTGTATATGCTGTTGCAGCTTGTAATGACTAGTTAAGTGTTCCTAGATATTGGTAGATGGTCCTCTGTTGGGATCAAGCGTCGATTGCATTTCTTATCGATTGAGTCAAGAATCTACTGCAGACTTGCGGTTTGCTTTTTCTTATTTCATCCACATTGGACACTAACACACCTTCATAGTAGTTGGTCTCGCAATCACTCTCCCGTTGTCGCTATGCATTGCTGGTTTATTGCTGTTACTCGATGGGGTGCTGTCACAGAGGCTACTAATGAGCTCACGAATGATAGCTTTGTATGTCCATCAACCGCTCATGAGAATGCGCTGCGAATTTGTTTACCGAACTCTTTTATTTTTGCGGTGTACTCAAGGCTTTGATTCGTGTTTGCAGTGAATGATCCCTTTGTGATGAAGGCTTGGGCGAAAACATACCCCGAGAACAAAGATGTTCTTTTCCTTGCTGATGGCTCAGCAAAATACACCCATGATCTCGGCCTTGAGCTAGACCTTCCAGAGAAAGGGCTGGGAACTCGTTCTAAGAGGTTTGCTCTCTTGATCGAAGACCTCAAGGTGAAGGCTGCAAATATCGAGAGTGGGGGCGAATTTACCATCTCCAGCGCCGATGACATCCTCAAGGCTCTTTGAATATTTACATTCCTTCACCCCAAGCTTGCTGCCCCTTGTATCTGAGATTTGTGCCTCCCTTTCTTCAAATTCTCACTTTTGTCAAAATTCCAAATTTAATTCTCACATCTCAACGTAAGGAGTTATTTTGTGATATGCGAGGGACACTATTGAAATGATAATAAATGACATTTTGTGATACCGGGACCTAGAGCTCTTTTGTGGAAAATAGATCTAGAAATTGAACGAGATGTTAAAAACAATTTTCAAGTTTTAGGCGTTAAAAACTTGTTTGGTAGGATTATTTTAAAAAACTGAATTCAAGATTAACTTTAAAATACAGTTTATTTTCTAAAAACAGAAAAAGTAAGTTTTTAGAGTTTTTAAACTTAAACTCACTTTTTTCTTTTATCTCTCTCCTCCCCTCTCACTTTAAATCTATCTCTCTTTTATTCTCTCTCACATGCATCTCTTTCTTTTTTTTACCTTTTTCATCTCTTCTCCAATCTGCTCTCTTCATTCTCTCGGTTCTTTTTCTTGCTTTTCGTCATCACTATCTCCTCCGATCTTCTCAATTCTTTTTTTTTCCTTTAATTATTTCTTAATTTTTTTCCTCATCTATCCTCCTTCTCTCTCAGACCTCCTCTTTTTTGATTTTTTTGTCCAGTTTAAGTTGTAAGATTTAGAATTTTTAAATCGCAAACCAAACAAGTTTTTGAGTCTTAAAGAAATTGTTTTCAAGAAAAATTTTTAAGAAATGTTTTGAGAAATTATAAAAAAATTTAAATATGATACCAAACAAGCCTTAACATATCGACCCATTGAGGAGGTCCAACATATCTTTGAAGAGGATTTATATGAAATAGAGACGTCAAGGTGACAACATCTCAAGCATTTCATAGCAATGTAACGTCTCAAATTTTGACATTTACGTTTTTTTATGAGTCTCTTTCTCATGTTATAGGTGTTCAATCCCTAAACAACATGTTTAAGCATGTTTACATACTTAGAATTGGAGTTATTCTAATTTTTAACTTTTTCTGTGTTTATTAACACATTGGATATAAATGACACTAGTTCATTTGTGTTATTTACACACAACAAGAAATGTACGTATTATTAAATACTTGAAAAACAAAAGATTAGATTGAATATAACAGCAGTTGATTTTCGCCTTTACACATGACTTGTCTCATTTTAAGTAAATAACACATGCTTTTAAGTATCGAAGTAAACCTCCCTCTAGCTTTTCGTCATTACATATGACTTGTCTCATTTTAAGTAAATAAACAAGCTTTTAAGTATAGAAGTAAACCTCCCTCTAGCTTTTTCAACAGTACACAAAAACACAAGGTCAAAGTTCGCCTTTACACATGACTTGTCTCATTTTAAGTAAATAACACATGCTTTTAAGTATCGAAGTAAACCTCTCTCTAGCTTTTCGTCATTACATATGACTTGTCTCATTTTAAGTAAATAACAAGCTTTTAAGTAGAAGTAAACCTCCCTCTAGCTTTTTCAACAGTACACAAAAACACAAGGTCAAAGGTCTTAAATTTCAGGTAGGCGGCTGTGGGTCCACTCCAACAACACCGATACTGTTCTCATTTGGCTGCCTGCTCAATCTGTCAGGCGTGGGGTTTTAATACAAAATGCCTCAGTGTTAGTTAGAGTGAGGTAATTTTATATAAAGAGCTTGTTCTCAAGCCTTTTGGCCAATGTGGGACAGAGGAATTCTAACAAAAAAGGAGGAAACCTATCTTATTTCAACAATATTAACAAGAATTTTTCTAGTGTCAACCAAAGCATAATATACACAAAACCATTGTCGTTAGATTATTGATCTCATTCTTCCATTGCTCCAACACACTTAATAAACCAGAGCACCGTAGAATTTTTGCATTAACAAATGGCCCAAATGAACATTATGAAATTGCTGATTTTTGGAGTTTGGGTGATTGTTCCAACCATGACTGGGTGAACCTGGTCCCCTTGGCCTTGCCACTTCTCTTAACTCTGTAACAACAATTCAACTTTTAAAATGCCATCAAACTGTCTAAATAAAGCTTAAAAAACATTTTAATCCAAAAAAATGGCATATCTATATTGCAATGCATGCATTTGTTTCACCTAAGAAGCCACAGTCACTTGGCATCTTGTCAATTAATCATTCAAACTGCTTAGATTTTGTTTACCAATTGAAAGACAAATAATCTTAGAAAATGCACTTTCTTATTTAGTAATGCCAAACGAGCTCTTAAGTGTTGATGGACAATGGCCAGCAATCAAGGATGTGGGTCCATATTTTTTGTAACAGTTCCAGGTGTTGCATGTGTATCAACAGAGATAATAGCATTTAGCGACGATGATTGTGGATAGATGCATGCACTAGGGACGATGATTAGGGATTGATGCATGCACTGCCAATTTCCTATCATTGTTTTTTTTGATAAATTCTACTGCTACAGCTGACAGTCTATATTCTAACAAAGCCTAATGAGTGAATAATTCGAACTTGCATACATAAAAAGCATACGGTTAAAACCAACTTGATTTTTAATAAAAAAACATTACAAATTCGGCCGAAGTTAAAATTATCTCAATATAAATTAAAAGAGTATTTTGACAGCTAAGAATATACAGTAAATAAAATATATAAAACGCCCTTCAACTGTTGTTCTGTTTTTACGTGACAAACATAATGAAAAATTGACACAACCTTGTTGTCTGTTTCTGTTGGTTCTGCCTTCATCATAGTATTACTTCTCAAATACTACGAAGTTCGGGTTTTTACAAATCTTACCAGAAGCGGTCAAAAGGCGAGGGACTTCATGTTTTGAAAAATTTGGTAAAACTAGACCTGGTTACTCAAAGATGAATATGAATTCTTACTTTAAATTGTTTCAGTTCATAGAACTTGGTGTTTATGATCAAAACCGTTGATATTATAAATCATTATATAAAGATTACCTCTATAAAAAATCAATTAAAACTAAGATCGTTTAGTCATCGAACTGTATAAAAACAGCTGAACGGAATTGGTAAAAGAATTCCGAACCATCTATGTATTTGGTTATTTGCTATAATAGATTGACTAAACGATATTAATTTTAATTCATTTTTTGCAAAAATGATATTTACAGAATGATTCATAATATGAACGGTTCTGATCATAAACACAAAACTCTGTAATTTAAACACGAAGAGTTTTGAATTGGAATTCCTATGCAACTTTAAGTTGCCAACCGTTGTTCGGGAAAAAAAGAAAAAAAAAAGCCTAAGAAACTGGTTCAGGCATGATTCTGGCAGTTCATTGTTTATTGTTACGTTGAATAATAAATTTTCGCTCGAAAACTTTTTGGCAGCTCGAAAAAAGTTTTGAAAGTAACGTGATTAAGGCATTTTATTGTTATTCTTTTCGAGACATCCTTTAGTTTGAAAGTATATTTGGAAGTTAGGCAGCTAAGTTGACATCAATAAAACTTGAACCTTGGGCAGTTGATGTATCAAAATACTTTAACCACTAAAGTTCTATTGAAAGACAGTAGAAAACCATGTCAAGCAAGAATTAAACACAAAACTAAACCTTTTTTAATCTTTTGAAAATACTAAATACTTTCCAGTATCTAAAAGCAAGGGGGGCCACCTTATTTGGGTAAGAACTATTGTCCAATATATATACACACATAGAAGCGGAGTCATGAATGAACTAGAATGGTCTCAGATCGATATTTTTTTCACATAGAAAAACTGGAATTATCCCTCTAATTTCCAATAATTGTAAATATGTGATGACAAAGAAGGTTTTGACTATTCACATATTCGTAAAAATCAACATCATTGATTCATCGTCACCAAATAAACAAATATTAGAATCTGACCAAAAATATAGAGTAACAATTTAAGTAGTGACTGAGATGATGATTAGATGATGAACGAGATGATGGCTAAAAGATGGATTTGCGAGCGTGTTGCAAATTATTGCATCGGTTTTTAACATTTGTGAGAAGTTCCTCTTAATCCGAAATTCTGACTCTACTACTAATATATATATATAAATTATATATAGGTAAGAACTAATGCAGATGTTGTAACAAAATTGGATTTTACAGTTTTACTGTTCAATTTCGTTTATTTGCCATGAATGTGACGGCAAGTTGGAAACCAGCAAAAAAGATGAAAGAGGAGGGTCCCATTTTTCTGTACATTCAAAAAATATTTCTGTTGGGTTTGAAATTTGCTTCGAGGGACTCAAAAGTAGTGGAGCTATATACCCTTTGACCACAATCAAAACCGTCTCACCTCTCTCTCTCTCTCTCTCTCTCTCTCTCTCTTAAATTTTAAATCTTTCTTCCCGAAATTAGAAAAAGGACTTGGCTTCTATATCATCTCACACCTCAACAAAAAGCCAGACACTGTTCTCAGCTCTCTTTCTTCTACTTCTTCAACTGCTTCTTCTGTTCAGCTTTTTGTTTAAGCTGAACTTTCTGAAGCTCATTTCACATATATACATATATATTCCTAGAAGTGCTTTTGGCTAAAGTGCTTGATTACCAAGTGGCTAGTGTTTATTTCAAGTTGGGGGGTTGAGAGAATGAGTGCTTCAAAGTTCATTAAATGTGTCACAGTTGGAGATGGAGCAGTTGGGAAGACCTGTATGCTTATTTGTTACACCAGCAACAAGTTTCCTACCGTGAGTCCTTAAAAACTCATCTCAAAAATACTTTTTCTTTCCTTGCATTTATTTTTTGGATATTTTTATCAGATTTTTGCCATGAATTTTCTTTTACATTTATACTGAAGATGTGCTGCACAAATCAAGCTAAAAACTAAAAAGTAAGATAAAAATTACATAAATTTATCAATTAATATAATCTTTTTTTGTGTGTGGCAGGATTATATACCCACAGTTTTTGACAATTTTAGTGCAAATGTGGCTGTAGATGGGAATATAGTCAACTTGGGGCTGTGGGACACTGCAGGTAAAGGGTTTTCCTTGTACTGAGCGTCATTTTATTACAGTTTTACTGCTGCTGATTTCTGGGATTCAAAGTTTGGAGATTGGAGGGTCTTGGTTTTTATTTTTTTTATTTTTTTTTATTTGAGTTTGTACAATTTACCCTTTTTTGTATTTTGTTTTCAAAGGCCAGGAGGATTACAGCAGGTTGAGGCCACTGAGTTATAGAGGTGCAGACATATTTGTGTTA